TAATTTCTCTCGTGGAAAGAGTATAAACAAGGTTTTGAGGTATAAATCTTGTGAGTTGTTGTAAGGTTACACCTTGTCCTCAAAGGTTATCAAATCTAGTGGATTTGAGAAATCCTGAATGTGGATGCAAAGGTAATAGACGTAGACTTGATTTAGAAGTCGAATCACTCTAAATTCATTGTGTAAAATTTTTATTTTTTGATTTCTTCTACCATAAAATTTTAAAAGTCAATTAACTCCCTCTAAATCTATTTCAATTTTTCGTAAGAGCTAACATATATTTTCCTCAAAAACTTAGCTGACATAGTATAACCCATTTGTCCCTCCATTTCTCTACCCGAAAAAATAATTCAACTACCATTGTAATGTAAAAAAGTATTATTTAAATCTAACTAACTCCTAGATCTTTAGTTTGTATATGCTTATACCCATATTTAAAACACACACGCCTTTTTGAAAATACAGAGCTTGTCTTTCGGATTAATAGAAATTCTATTCTCATATATTTTCTTCATGATCTGACGGTCACACTTCCTTAGCTTTTATTAAGTCGCTTTTTATTAAATGGCCTTTCAATTCTTAAAGAATATTTATGCATTAATTACCTGTCAAAAAGAAATAAGTGAAAGTACGCCTCTTCAAGTTTTCATATTTTTAAACTTGTCAGGCACGCAATCAAAGCATCCCGTTCTCTAATTCTAGGGTTCTTTCTTTGGCGTTTAATCTCCTTGACAATGACAGAAAGTGAAAAACCTTCCACTCCCAAATTAAAAGTTGAAATCGATAGTGATAGCAATGGTAGTGAAACTATTGATCCCAATCATCAGCATGCCCGTTGCTTTACATCTCTCCGCTCTCGTTATCTCGCTGTTAAGAATCTTATTTTCGGTAACTTCGTTTCTTCTTTTTATTTACTCTTTTTCTTTGTTTTGGAGTTCTTGCTTCTGTTTGGTTTGAAAGAAAATAAGCGGGACATCTATTAAGTTCCTTTATATTTGTTTTACTGTATTTGTAAGCGTTTTAATTTTTTTCTCAACAGAAAACTAAGTACGGTTGTTTTATTACCAGAAAACGAATCTGCTTTCTATTTGATTGTTTTTAAAGCAACCGCCAAAAAGAACAAAAAAAAAAAACTCAATTTGTCTATACATTGCACCGGTTAAGCGTTTGGCTCAAATAATAAAAAAAAGTGTTTTGATCTGAACTTATTTTCTCTATTTAGTGACTGTTTTAATGTAATTTTTTTTTTGTTTAACTCTTTTGGCAGATGAAAGAGATGATATTTCTAGCACTGATTCTGCTAAGTTCAACTCCATTTTTAGTGCGGTAGAGAGCTTACATCAACATGGTATTGTGTTCTGGAATTTTTATTCTATGTAAAAAAGGTTTTCTTCTCTTTGGGTTAACGTATTTCGCTTGTTTTTCTGGGTTTTTTAATCTGAATTTCAGTTCAAAGACCAAGAGAGCAGATTGCTGACGCGGAGGCACTCTTGGACATTACAAACACATTGCTTACCTCTGTCAAAGCAACAAATGGTGATGGGATTACTGTTACCGATTTCATCAACTCTCTGCTTACGGACTTTGCAAAACAAAGCAGTAGGCAAGACGGCGGAACCTCAATAGACTGGAAGAAGATTGGGAATGAAGTCTCACATGTTTCCAGGATCAGTCGTGGATGTCGAACCATGTAATAGCATTCGACTGTAGTTTTCACCCTATAGTTTTACATGATCATGTATTTATCGGTTTTACTCCTCCAGGATTGGGCCTATGGATACACAAATCAAGCCAAGGAGAGCCAATGTTCGAAGAAAACGCATAAAACGATCCGAAGATGAGCAGCCTGAAGAGGTAAGAATTGCTGTTCCAGCTGTAGTCTTTCTTCAGCGATGATTTATGCTGTTAGGATTAGGAGGATTGTGTTCTGTTGTAGGTTGATGATAGTGATGCACAAAAGAGAACAAATACTGAAGCCAATATGTCAACCCTGTTTGACATTCTGAGGAAACATAGGATAGTGAAGCTTGAACATCTGGTATTGAATAGGAATTCTTTTGCACAAACAGTGGAGAATCTGTTTGCACTGTCATTTCTGGTTAAAGATGGGCGAGCTGATATAAAGGTGGATGATAAAGGCTTTCATCTAGTCTGTAAGTTCTGAATCTCTACATAAGCATTCATTTATTATTCGATATCTCTAACCGTTCTTCTCTGTTTTCTCCCTGTTTCCGTTAGCACCAAAGAATGCTCCGACTGCTACTGCAGTCGCGTCGAAAGAGGCTGTTTACAACCACTTTGTTTTCAGATTTGACTACAAGGATTGGAAGGTACCTGTGATTTACAATTGAATGGTTTCATCATTAACTTGCATTTGTCTGAATGTGTTCCATTGCGTATTTCACAGCTGATGAGAGATTATGTGGAGGTTGGACAGGAGCTTATGCCCCATAGGGATTAAATTGAAGCATCGAGCGATGTTTACTCGCTTACATGCAAGTCTACAATCTGAATCAACAATAGAATCTGCAACACCAGTATGGAAGCTATGGAGGAATCATGACATGATTTTTATGCATAGCATGTAGGTGAGTTTTTTTTTTTTTAGTTTTAGGAGTTACATTGAGGGCATATTTAGTTGAGTTCATAGGGTAATCATTGTCGATCTTGATGCCTTCTATAATGTTCCCTTTTCTTTTGTTTATACGTTTCACATCGTTTCTGATTTGAAACAACCGCATATATTGAAGGGAAGATCTGTAAATTCCCTCTATTTAGACCACCGAGATCAGCATGTGGTATTTAGAAATTTAAGCAAATCTTCATCTCTGGAATTTAAACTTATTCCTACTGAAAGCAAACATTTCTAATCTTGTTTCCTTTATCGCTAGTGGTTGTCAACAATGAAGTTTCAAGCAGGGTGAGTAAAACTCTACTCGACTCAAAAAACTGAATTTTTTTACTCGAATTGACTTCGAGTTGCAATTTCATTAACTTGACTCAACTCGAAAAAATTTAAGTTCAAATCGAGTTGTAAAATGCAACTCGAATAACTCAATATTTTTAGGAATTAGTGGATTTATTTTCAAGTTTGAATCGCGTACTTGAACTTTGTATGATATATGTATATCACATGTGAAAAAAATATGAAGAAATATATTTGTATTGTATATATGGTTATAGAAAATTACTTAAATTAGAATAAAATAATATTATAAATATTTACAATTAAATTTAAACATAAACTCAAAAAATCAACTCGACTCGAAAAAATTTTAAGTTAACTCCGAGTTGTAAAATATGATTTATCAACTTGAATAATTTAATTTTTTTTACTCGACTTGATTGAATGTTCAACCCTAGTTCCAAGTAGATTGAGTTATAATATAACTATATAACGATTGTTATTTATTTAAAAAGAATCATATGTGCTTTCTTTAATTCTATTAAATAACATGTATAATTCACAAAATAATTATTTGATAGAATTGTTGACGTGTAATTTTTGTTTATATACTTTATAGTATTTAAGTGAGCAAAAATATATAACTGATATGAACATTATATGTAAATAATCATATGAATTTAGATATAACATATATAATTCTTCAAATTAAATCATCAAAGATAAATTTTACAAAAAATGACACATGCAAAGTAGTACAAATATGACACACACATATGCAATTTGTTAAAATATATATATATATAATGAATAATTAACTTGTACAAAACATTTATGAATATATAATAATATATTATGGGTATATTGTATATTATTGGTGTACATTTTCGAATATTATGGGTGTACTATATATTATGAGTGTGCATTTTCGGATATTGGATATTATTTGATCCAAAATTTAAGATATTTAAAAATTCGGATCACTAAAATTATAATCGATATAAAAAAATTGGATATTTGAATTTTCAGATATCTAAAATTTTGATTGGATATTGTGTTATCCATATTTGAATAATAAAATTAAAATTAAATTTAATATTTTATTTCTTATACACATATTATATACATATACTATATATATTTATCAAACGTATGTGAAATAGGAGGTTGCAATCGACATAAGCTTGTTATCAATTGAAATTTTAAAGCTGCTTCGTAATTTGGAGAAGGCTCAAGGCAGGGGGTTGGACATTTCAGGCTAGGAGTGGGCTGACGGACTGAAACTATTGGGCTTAAAAAATCTTTTAAATTTAAAGGCCTAATTTTTATCTTATTTTCGAAAAATTAAATTTTATCCTATTCTAATCCATTCCGATTATTCGTTTTTTCTCGAATACCCGATCTGAATGATTCAAAAATTAAAAAATCAGATTAGATATATGAATTTTTGGATCGGATTAAATTGATCAAATCATATTTTTTTTGCACAACCCTATTGTAAATGGTATATGAGTTGGGATAACTGTTTTTGAGGAGTCAAGTTAACATTTTAATCGGAATAGTTAACAGTTTTAACTGTTTTGATAAATTACACAACCCAAACTATCTTAGTGGTTAAATGGATGGTTATTATCTTTAGAGGTCCCGGTTTGAGCACTAGAAACTACAAAAGGATGTTGAGCTTTCAATGACAAACGATGATAATCATTAAAACATATATTATCTGTCAACTTTTCTATCTTTTCAATTTTTCATCATTCCGATATTTTGAAATTTTAAAATTAATTTATTTTTTAGAAATGTATAATATTAAAATAGGAGAATAAATAAATATTTTGATACATGAACTTCTCTTCTTCGTTCTAAATTGAACTCACAAGTGAAGATGAAGTATTAAAATCTATATTTAACCATAATATGGAAGAGAAAACAAATGGGCTAGAATGGAAGTTGAGTTGAGTTCAAAATAAAAGCCCAAAAGAAGAAAGATTCTTCATGACGTAAAACAAAATCCAGGCCTTTAGATTTATGGCCTTGAATCATCATCAACCCTACCTACCAAAGAAATATCTCTATCTTTCAACCTCTTCTCCCCAAACCCCCCTTCCCCAAGATTGGGTTTCTCTTCTTTTTTCCTTCTCTCTGGGGTTTTACGTTCCTCTTCATTCTGTTTTTAGGCCTCAAATTCTTGCATTCATTTGATTTTTTTCTTCCCTTTTATCGGTTCGTTTTTAAATCTGAATCTGTGATTTTTTCATTAAAGTTCTCTAATGGATACTCGTAAAAGAGGAAGTCGTGAAGCTGGGTTCAAGGTTAATGGCGGAATCAAGAGATCTAGACCCGGTTTGTCACCTTTTTATTTTTCTCTCTAAAATTGAAATATGTGGTCTTTGTTTCTGCTAATATTTACAAGCATGGATTAGTGTCAGTATTGTAACTGATTAATCATGTAATTGTTAGTAACGAGATTTCATTAACAGCTAATATAATTAGTTAATAACTTGGATTTATTGGGGGGTAATTTGGATTAAAAGAAATTGAAACCGAGTAAAAGTAATTAATTAATGTTGTGCAACAGAATTGGAATCTTTATCTACTGGTGTAGCAAGCAAATCGAAGCCATGCACCAAGTTTTTCAGGTTAAAATTCTTATACCCACCTAAATGAATATTGATATTCTCCAATTTAAATTCCACTTAACTTCTGTGTTTATCACCTCTCCAATTCTTATACATTTAAGAAAAAAGTTAACTTTATAATTTGTTAATTTTAGTAGTTAAAAATTTGCAATTTTGCTAATTGGATGTGGATATTGAGTTATGGCAGGTACGATACTGTTATTTGATTATAATCAAGTTAAAGAAAAACAGAGATTGGCTTCATTTATAGCGATATTGCCGGTGTTAGTTGGTGAAAAGGGAAAATTATATCAAAGATTTAGTATTTGTTACAACTTGTAAACTGTGTCTAAGATTGAATTCGATGGTTTCAAATTTGGCACAGTTATTGAGTCCATTGCTAAGTTTTTCATGTTATAAATCAAAGAATGATGAAATCCACGTATGATATGTTCATGTTATTTTACCATTTTCTGGTTTGTATTGTTGACCGGCACATTAGTGCATGTTTGAGAATGTTTAAGATACTCGATGTAGGATGAAGCTTTAGTAGAGAAAGAAGCTTTTCTTGGCTTGTAAGTATCAACTCTTTTAGGGAACATAACAGGGGACTAGAGTCCTTGGGATCTTTTTGCTGTTATGGTTTTATGCTACATATTTGTTGTGTGCTGGCTTTGTCTTGGTTTTTGGTCTATTAGAATTTCCGGGTATTCTGGTGTTTTCAATTCGGAGAGAGAGAGAGCACCTTATACCAGTGAAGCGTATTTATGTCATCTTATACTGGTAGATTTGTATTTAGCTGTTCTCATGGACTCTTCTAAGCCTTATCTGATTTGCAATTGCAGCACTGCTGGTTGCCAATTTGGTGAGAGTTGCCATTTCCAACACTATGTTCCTGGAGGTTACAATGCAGTGGCCCAGATGATGAACCTTCCACCAGCTGTTCCACCAGCTTCGAGAAACATGGCATCAACAGCTGCCACACCACAGGGCTCTGCCTCAGCAGTCAAGTCTCGCTTGTGCAACAACTTTAGTAGCCCCGAAGGTTGTAAGTATGGTGAAAAATGCCACTTCGCACATGGAGAATGGGAACTTGGCAAACCTATTGTTCCACCTCATGATGATCCACGCTCCATGGGACCTAATCGTGGTCGTATGGGCGGTTGGATGGAGCCATCACCCCCATCCGGTCCTGTTGGTACATTTGGTGCTTCAGCAACTGCAAAAGTTAGTGTGGATGCTTCCCTTGCAGGAGCCATCATTGGGAAGGGTGGTGTGCACTCCAAGCAAATATGTCGTCAAACAGGAGCAAAACTTTCTATTTGGGAGCATGAGTCAGATCCCAGCCTTAGGAACATTGAGCTCGAAGGATCATTTGAACAAATACAAGAAGCCAGTTCAATGGTTAGAGAATTAATCAGCAGCCTAGGTCCGGTGTCAGGTCCTGCCAAAACATCTGGTGTGCAGGGTGGTCAAGGACATCCGAGAAGCAACTACAAGACCAAGTTGTGCGACAATTTTGCGAAGGGAAATTGCACTTTTGGAGAAAGATGTCACTTTGCACATGGTGCAGCCGAGTTGCGGAAGTCGGTAATGTGAGGGGTTACTAGTGTGCATTCCATGTAGTTGATGGTATGAGATATGCTGTCTTTTATGAGTTAGATCCATGCTAGCTGTGCAATACTATCTAGTTGAAGTGATATGAACGGAGTTTTTACTTTCTTTTAGTCTGAAATTTTGTGTGCCAGATTGCAATTTTCCTTTTCTCTCTGTCGCTAATGTAATGTGGTTTTGTAAGCTTAGAGGAGCTAATAGTTTCCCTTTTTGGTTGGGAGGGCAAATAATTAGGTCATTTTGTTACACATTGAGGTATTCTGGTCCTCCTTTTATTAGACATGTTTGATAATTTCATTACAGTAACAGTTTGTGGTTCTATATAGCTGTCTAAAATGAATTGCCCAAACCTAATTCTGCCATGTACATTCTCAAAAACTCCCAAACCTAATTCTGCCGAATACATTCTGAAAACTGTTTTCAATAGTTTAGGGACCTATCTATAAAACTTGGCTAATGTTGGTAATAACAATGATTTGTGCAATCTACCCATTAATCTGCTGCATATTTAGTTATTTAATTAATAATCTTTTATTATTTTTATGGCTTAATACTTCTCTTTGACCATGTATTATGCACAAGTTCAAAGTTTGGGGTATTGTATAATTGGCACTTCTTTTCTTTACGGCTAAATTACATGATTGGTTATTTTTGTTTAAGTTTTGTATATTTTTTCTCACAAAATTTAAAATACATAATATTAGGTCATATTCGTTTTTATATAATTTGGTCACATTTGTTTTTATGTAATCTTTTATGTAATTAAGATGTGATAACTGAAGGTTAATTATCATTAGACCTTTATTGAATTTCTAACATGACACGGTCAATGTATAAAATTAAAAAGGTAAATTACACATAATTAAATAAAATTTTGATTTTCCCCATAAATATCTTTCTCAGACCAATCACACTTAAAAACGTCAAGCTCTCTCTCCAAAGTGGATTTGCTCATTGGATCCAATACATCGAGAGTTATAACAAAAGAAAACCTAAGGGGCTGTTTGGTTTGGGCATGGGAATGAAATTTACATTTCTTTGTTTGGTTAGTCGGGAATTTTATTCTCGGTAATATTTTATTATTAATAGTGAATTTTTTGGGGTATATTAACGGGAATGTCATTACCTCCCTTCTCTTAAGTATTGTTAGATTACCAACGTTTTGGACTAAAATGCCCTTCAATTTCTCCCCCAAAAATATACTTCTTCTGTCATTGAATAATAAAAATTCTACGAAGGTTAAATTACAAATTTATCCTTAAAATATTTTAGATTTACAAAAAAAAAATCTATAATTAAAATTTTATATGAAGGTGTTAAAATAAAATTTTACTATTTCATTAAACCTTTTTATATTTTCAATTTTGTAAAAAAAATATATAAATTTTATGAATTTAATTTTTTTAAAGAAAATATATAAATATTTTCCAACTTGTTAAAAAAATATATAATAAGGACAATTTGGTCAAATATACATTCCAATAATCTTTTATTCCTTTAACCAAACACGATAATCTTACATTCCTGCTAAACCAACCAAACACAAAATGCAACATTCTCAGTAATCCTATTCCTTGGTAATCTTTTATTCCCACTGGTAATCTTACATTCCGTGAACTAAACGCGCCCTAAGTGAATATGTAAACCCATATTTTTTACATCGAGACATTCTTTGTTGCTCCACTGAGGTTTAAATATTTTGTTAGTTTAAATATACATTCCAATAATCTTTTATTCCTTTAATCAAACACGGTAATCTTACATTCCTGCTAAACCAACCAAACACAAAATACAACATTCCCAGTAATCCTATTCCCTGATAATTTTTTATTCCCATTGGTAATCTTACATTCCGTGAACCAAACGCACCATAAGTGAATATGTAAACCCATATTTTTTACATCAAGACATTCTTTGTTGCTCCACTGAGGTTTAAATATTCACTGAGGATCAATACAATTTCTTGCCGCAAATCAAACAACATATTTCAATTTCTATTTTTTATAAATTATCAAACTTTTTAGATAAAACAATATAACTATTTTCAAATTTAACATGAATTAAACAAAAAAACATGAATATATGGAATATTTAATTACGAAAATGAAGGTAATAAGGGCAGTGGGTGGGTAGTTGTTAAGTAGGTTTAAAATGCAGGTTGGGCACCGTGGGTAAGGAGAGTGAGGTGAGCCCAAACAACTTATAACGTCAACTACTGTGAGTGACCCTCAAATCTCCTCATGCAGCACTTATTTCGTGACTGAATAATAATAATAATCCCATTTGATTCTCACAATCTCAAATATTAAAAAAAAACCCATAATTCTTCAATCATTATAATTTCATTTAATTAGAGGAGGTTTAGATATTAGAGCACACACATCTTATTTTCTAACTTGTATTTATAAGCTTTGAAATAAAATCCCATACAAATTTTTAAATTCATTTCTCCATAAAATCAATAGGATATATAAGAATATTAGGGTTTTGTTTTTCGTTTCTTTTGCTACTCTAATTATATATTGAAAGCAACTTAGCACGGATTTCTTAATATTAAATAATAATAAAGAGATCGAGGCATGGATCTCGAAATTCTTCTTAATGTTCTTTTTTCATCATTGCCAAAGTTTGTACCCAATGATTGATATTGCTAGAAACTTAATTGTAAACGATTCATAGTAACTGTTAATTATGTGCCGAAACTACCAACATTCCTTAATATATTTTTCGTAAAGTTTTAAAATGTTATTAAATTATTTTAAAACGCATTTTTTTAGTATAAAATTTTAAAAATTTATAAAAACATATATTGGATTTTAGAATTTGTTACAAAATGAGTACTATGATGTTAATTGTTAAAAAATGTCTTCTTCTTTTTCTTTGATCTTTATTTAGCCGGCGGTGGTGACACCGATTTTAATGTTGGTTGCCGATCACCAACTTGTTAAGATAATGGAAAATCATAATGAATTCTTTATATCAAGAACGCTGTTTAGGAGAGTTGATACAAATGGTATTTTTACACAAGCAATAGCAGTTGAAAACTGCCTAACAGAAGGCCCTGGAAGTCTAACTACTCAACCGTTCGAGCAGGAGAGAGAAACTCTTAAGAAAGCCATCATGCACATGAGCCATGCAACGCCATGCAGTCAAGCAAGGTCTAACATTCACCCTGCTTTCTTCTTCACTTGACTTCTCCCAAACACACATATTTTGCTCCTTAGGGCTTCAAATCGGGTAACAACAAGGGGCTTGGTTAGAACATCTGCAATATGATCATCGGTGGGAATATAATTCACTTAAATTTCACCGACTCCAACCTTCTCTCGAAAGAAGTGTAGGTCTAGTTCAATATGCTTGCTCTTTGCATGTAAAATATGATTTGCAGCCATGGCTACTGCACTGGTGTTGTCACATTAGATTTTTGGACCTTCGATACAAGTCACAGATATTTCAGATAACGCAGCCTTCACCCACACAATCTCTGAGGTTGAATCCGCTAGACTTCTGTACTTGGCCTCCGCTGTGGATCTTGACACCGCCCGTTGCTTCCTCGAGCCCCAAGATATCAAGTGACTCTCGTTGAAGACGCAGTAGCCTGACACAGACCGTCTGTCGTCCACATTGCCACTCCAGTCTGAGTCAGCAAAAGCATTGAGAGTCATGCGCAGGGTTTTAAATAGCGTTCGCGGTCATGTTTTCGGTGTCGTCGCATTTATTGCGGTTGCGGACATAACGGATGCTATCGCGTTCACTACGGGTGTCGCGGTTATGAATTTTTTTAAATTTTGCACAACTTATCTTAAAATATAATAAAAATAATTATAATTATAAAGAATAATATTTAAAGATTTTTAAAATGATTAAATTAAATAGAATTAAAATAAAAGTGTAAAATTTAAATATTTTGAAATTTTGATTACTAAAATTAGGACTAAATTAAATGAAAATTAAATTTTACTATCTAAATTAAGAATTAAATTAAAGAATTAAAAAGAATTAAAAATTAAATTCTAAAATGCTAACTCATAAATCTTAAATAAAATATATGACAATATTATAAGTTTAGATTCTTTAGAACCTAACTTGTAAAACAAATTTTCTTCACTGGTGCAAGAAATAATTTTACCTATTTTCTTTTTTTAAATATAAGTAATGGACCAACCATTGTTCCCATTTCTCTCATCTTCTTCACCAGTTCACTTCAGTTCTTCATTTTTTCTTCCCATCGCCATTCCCGAGTTCAATCTTCTTCGTTTCACCCCCACCCATTTCACTCTTCTTCAACCTTCACTGAATGGAAGATTGCATATTCGAAACCCCAAATCCCCGAGTAAAGATTGCATCTTCAATCTTCCTAAGTTAAGCAAAAAAAACTTTTACAATTTTACCTTCTTAAATGGAAGCGATAAGCTTAATCTACTCCTTCAGCGGCAGCGAAGCTTGACGGACAAAAGACTTCCTAGTTTATACTAATGGACTTTGTTTTTCCGGCTCTTCCCCTTCCTGATTGGTTTTTGGTAAGATGTGTGGGTAATGGGTATTTGATTCTACCATTCACTAAATAGTTTTGTCTATATTCCATTCATTTTGATTTTTGTTTTTGAATTAGGTTGTTGAATGCTTGATTGTAGAGGGAATGTTTATTTTTGTTTGTCTTGGAATCATAGGTGAATAACGGTTGTTGCGTCCCGTTATCGGCACAATCGTCCGTTTCCCATTATTTCCTGGATGCAATTGACCGAAATTAGTGTGAATCGGTGACCCACCGCAAAAACCGTGAAAAGCGATTTCGGATGGTGGCGCGACCAAAATATAACGACCGCTATAGCGTTTTCGGAACGCTATTTGATACCCTGGTCATGCGTGCTTGAACTTGGGAGGAAAATCATAGACCATGATCGAGTGTGCCTCTAAGTTACCTTAGAATCGTTTTTACTACAAGCCAGTGTACCTCGGTAGGTGCTTGAAGGAACTTAGCGGTTTTGTTGACAGCAAACGCTATGTCAGGACGTGTGTGACATACGTATTACAGAGCACCAACCACCCGTCGATTTTGTTGAGGTTGGCTCAGCACCTGACCTTCGAATCTACTTAGCTTGGTCGTCGTGGCCATGGGAATAGTCGCAGGGTTGATGTCAAATAACTGATTTTTATTCAAGTGATCAGTAACGAACTTCTTTTGACTAAGAAACAAACCCTGTTCTGTTCGCTGAACTTCTATCCCAATAAAGAATTTTAGCTTACCGAGATCCTTGAGGGAGAACTTCTCATGAAGTCTTTGAACAACATGATCAACTTTTTCTTATGAGCTTCCGGTCACCAGAATGTCATCCACATATACTGCTATCTCTTAAACTGCCCTTGCCATGCAACGCCATGCATTCAAGCAAGGTCTAATACGGGGAATATTAGTTCTCTTATTTTTTATATTACGTATTTATATTTTTTTCTTGAGTTTTTTTAGTTTCGAATAAGCATCTTTATCCTTGTGACATGATTTTTCTCCTCTCTTGTGGCATGATCCTCATATTTTTTTTTGTATGTTTTTTTGCATACCTTTGCGGTCATTTTGGTTCTCTAACAAAAATCATCACGGCGTTTATTTTTTGATTGATTAGTCGGTGGTCACGTATAGTCAGATCCCCTCTTTTGGTAAAAGGTTGTTTGCCGATGTAGTCAGAATTGTGTAACGAAGCAGCCTGCCAGATTATTTGGTTCGCTCTCCACTCCTTTATCACTTCATTAAGCGTCTCATTCGACTGAGACAAAGAGTTTATATGAAGGTTATTGGGTTTTGATATTGGTCATCAAGGTTTTAATTTTCTTTGTATTTTTAGGTTTATTTATTTTTGTTTGAGTATTTTGGTGAACATTATCTCTAAATTTATCTCTTTATTCTGATGCGATGTAATTTTGATTCATCCATTATTAATAAAATTAAGTTGTCATTGTTAAAAAAATGTTGTGACATATTAAAATCAATGGATAATATCTTATTTGGTCCATCAATTTTAATTATAATTTTATTTAGATATTTTTTTTTATATTTTTAGATAATAATTCTAAACAATTAAATAAATCAAAAGAATTTAAAAATATAAAAAAAATCAAAATTCATTTAAAATTCTAAAAAATATTTTTGATGGGTCGATTTGCTTTGTTTTAAAAATTAAAATTATTTTTATACTTACTTGTATTGATCAAATGAAATATTATTTTTTATAGAAGCTATTAATTTTATTTAAAATAAGAAATATCTCAAATTAAAATGAAGATTTATAATTATATCTTGAATTAAATATATAATTAGGATAATTTTCAACCATTGTTGAAACAAAACTAGCAGCTTAAGATCACTTAAGAATCATAGAAGGAAAGATTAAAACTTAACCAAGAAACTCGAATAAAGATATATACAAATAGATCTGATCACATCGACAAATGAACCACAAAAGGAAATCATGCTAATGGTAGACCACCAGCAAATTACAAATCAGATTTAAGTGATATGAAAAGCTATTTACAAACACATAATAGATATCCAAATCCAATCCAAGGTTCAAAGCATGGAAGATCAACTATATACCAGATAAGTATCATCTTGATCAGTCGTGACAATATCAGATAAACTCTTAGAAAAAGATAAGTGAAAACAACGGTCAAACGACTGAAAGACGTGTCAAAAGGCAGAAGAAAACGTGTCATACAAGCACATTTATAAAAAAGGAAAATATAAAATACTGGCAATCGATAACCAACATTAAAACGATACCACCGCCAATTAATAAAGATAAAAATAACTTGAGAGAAAACTAAGAGAAAGAAGCTTGAGTAATTTCTTTTTTTTCAATGAAATGAAATATTATTTATTTATTTACATGTCTACTACCATAATATTTATTATATAATAAAATTAAAAAAAATTAATGTTTACTTTTTAAATTTTAACTTTAACATAAAAAAGTTAAGATAATTTAGTGACACTTTTGAGCTTTAGCTATATATATTTTTAAAATTTTTAAATTTTTGTGTGTGGATAATTCTGATTTTTATTACCCAAAATAGAAATGTTATGCTACAACCAATCAACCAATCAACAAAAGAAATAAAACAACTTAATTACAAAAGAACCAATGATTGGTTAGACTATACCCCAAGCATTACAAAGGTAAAAGTTAGTACTATCAAGTATGTTAATAGATTTACCCCTAAGGCGGATACTAACAGCTTCAACGATTTCTTTGAGCATGATGTCGACAGTTCGGAATCGACTCTGAAACATTATGCTATTTCGTTCTTGCCACAAGGTGTGGATAAAAGCATCCCACGAAATTTTCAAGATAATGGTGATAAGGGACTTCCCTTTCCAAGTTGAGCTAGCTCGAGAGACCATTTCTTCCCAAGTCAGAGCAGTAAAATTCATCCCATTCAGGTTTAAGATTGATTTCTAGAGTTCAACAGCCAAGGAACATTGGGAAAAAATGTGGTCCCTTGTTTCTTGGTAATTGTTGCAGTTTACACAGATTCCATCGTTGTTTATTCCCATTCTTTGTAACCGATCTCTGGTAGGTAACCTATCCAAAATGGCCATCCAAGCAATCAAGCTATGATTTGGTAAATGCATAGGATACTATATGAGTCTATGCCAATGAACTTTCTGCCCTTGCATCCGAATTTTATCCAGATTTCCTTTGTCTGCATAGAACCAGAAGAGATAAGAGGATAAACTATAGTCCTCGTTTTTAGGATTCTTCTGATGCTCCAGCTAACATTGGTTCCAGCTTCAAACTGCCAGAAATCATGCTCCAGCTAACATTGGTTCCAGCTTCAAACTGCCAGAAATCATGCTCCTTAAATACATAATTTTTGAGCCATGCAACCCAGAGCGATCCATCACCAGCAAAAATCTTCCTTATGAGACTTATAATGCAAGTTCTAATCCAAATAAATTTTTAAACTTTGAATTTAGTTTTTAATTGCTAAATTCCGTTTCTAATTATTAGTCAGGCCAAAAAATCACAGCTCTGATTATTCGGTTAGCCCAACAAGTCCACAACGCGCTTGACATTAGTATTCTCAAATTTGAGCTATCCGACCTTATAAAAAATATTTATATATTTAGCTATTGGAATTAGTATTTAATAAATAAAAATATTTAGTTAATTGATTTAAGGCTTAAAACCCTAGCCGTTTTCTCCTTTCACCTTTCTTTTCCTTTTTTTTATTATAATTTTGTCATTTTTTATAGATCGAATCAACTTTTTCTTCTTTGATTTTGTTTAGTCGCCGACGACATCAGTTTTAATACTGGTTGTTGATCGTCGATTGTCTTTTTTTCTTTGTTTCTTTTTTAGTTTTTTTTATGTTTCTTTTTTAGTTTTTTTTAATAAGAATAAGTATATCTTTGTTACAAGTTTATCTCTGTAGTTTTCGGTTTTTTTGTCATTGTTTTCATTTATCTTTTTTTCTCGGAGTTAGATTTGACATCACCATTATTTATCAAGATGTCGATTATTTATTATCATATTGATATTTACTGCTTTGGACCCTCAGATTGATTTGGATACGCGTTTTGCGTTCGTGGATAGTTTTCTCATATCGCTCGACTCTTATTTGCGATTTGTCAGTTGTCTTTCAGTAGCTTCATCTCTTTTTGTGGTTCGTTTTCCGATGCAGTCAGATTTGTTCGTCTCTTTATTTTGTTCGAACATTTTGGTTAGGTTTTTTAACATTTTCTTTTTTTGTCCTTATGTAATCCAGGTGACTAGTTTTTGTGTCAATCGTAATAGGAAAATGTCATAATTATATTTTAGGTTTATATGCTTGTAATTTTTTGATATTTTCTACTTTATTAAAATTAGTGACTTTCTATAAAAAAAAATTGTATGTAAAGCTAATTAGAAAATATAAAAATACTATGAATATAATGACTTGAATATATAACAAACAAAGATGCCTCGGTTATTATTAGCAAGCAGTACGGGTGTTAGTCCTTGCTGAAGTTGGCCTACGCTCCATGTGCCGCTCTGTCGTTGCCTGAAGGTGTGGGATTCGTGACTTTAGTTTAAGTATATTTGCAGTCCAGCTTTTGGGTTTATGAATCTCTCTTCTACCCTTTTTTTCTATTTTGCATGCAATACCCTCGTCATTTTATCAACTGTATGAGATTAATGAATTTCATTAGTGACCGATAATGTATCCATCCCGTAAACGTAAATGTTTGAATTTGAAATCTTTAGAAAGTTTAATACTTCTTTTTACTTTTAAAATTACTCTATGAATTCGTTATCTTAAATTTATATCATTCAATTCCGTTTGAAAGTGGTGAAAAAAATAGCAGCTGTAATTCAAATATAGGAAAGAGGATGACATTGTTTTGATTCCACTAACGCGGGCGGATTCGTGTGTAAAGTGAAGTAGTAAGTAGGGAGAATGCTCACTTTATTACGAAACCATGACTTTATTCTTTTACTACTCCTGCGCTTCCATGACCAGATCAACTGCCTTGGTGGATTACATATGTATAATTAATCACATTTAATTTCAAAAAGTAGATATACATAAGATTGTTTTTTACTCTAATAAAAAATAAAATAAGAAAGATGATTACCACCGAGGTTGGTTTAAGTGATAAGCAGTTTGATATCAGTCTTTACGTATGTAGAAAATCTATGCAATAAGATTCGCCTACTAAAACTAGGTGTGCGGCGCAGGTTGATCTGGACTAAATTTTAGAACTGGGAGAGAAAAAAATAGGGAAGATGATTTGGTTATCGCGAGCAGGGTATAAAAAGAACTTCTCTATAAATGTAGGAAAATAAAATTAATGCATAAGTTAATTCAAGTTTGTGAAATGGGGGGCCATTGAATATTAGTAGTTTAATGGATGTGTTCCATATGGTGAGACTGCAGTTGTTTGTCCCAAACTCTCCATCACTTTCTCTCCTTATATAAGCTCCCCCCACCCTCCCCCTCCCATGTCATTTTTCAACACAACCAGCTTTGTTCTTCCTTTCTTGTCAAAACATATTTCCATTGGAGAATTTGATGATGAGGAACCAAACCAGACTGTCTCCTTCACCACTGTCCATTCACAAAGACTCCCAAGCAATATCAAAGTCAAAGCCAAAGATACGGATCATTCACGTGTTTGCACCCGAGATCATCAAGACCGACGCCGCCAACTTCAGAGAACTGGTCCAAAGACTCACCGGTAAACCACCACAGGAAAAGGGTCGCCAAAGGAAACCAGCTATGGCGGCCGAGAAGAAGATGGAGCTCAGAACTGGGTTCCTCGCGGGCTTTGAAAGGGTTAAGGATGAAGAAGAAGGAGGGATATGGAGTATAAGTGGAGAGAATTCAGGTGGTTTCTTGAGTGGTTTTGGAGACTTTGATGGTTTGATTCAAGAGCTTGGTGAGCAATTCCCTTTGCTTCCTTTGGATGCTTCTCATCACACCCATGGATTCGAAGAAGCTCAACTAATTGCTTAATTTCATATTAACCTGTGGCCTTGTATGTTTCATCTTTCAAGATTTTGTTCTTGGTTTGGGTTTTTAGATATAGATTTCACTCAATTTCACCATGCATCTGCTCATCTTTCTTCTTACTATCTATCTCTGTAAATATAAGAGATTAACTTGATTTGGATGGAATGGAAATGAACATTTCATTTCAAAGCTTGTTTTCTGTCTTCTTCGTTTCTAAATCGATTAAACTCAATCAACTTTTAATTAAGGAGTTTTTTCTTCTTCTTAGCCGTGGGAGAAGAAAATAGCAGTTTGGCAGACCAAACATGAACTTCCCCAAAAAAAAAATCTTGTTGTTTGATTGGATAACTAAATGGCTTACTTTTCTTACAAGGCTGCCTTTAGTTTTACACAATTACTGCTAATAAGATATGTATACAATAAGATGATAGATGACTTTATCCCTTCAAGTCACCTTCTGTGAAAACCCTAATTTTAATTATTATTTTTTGAAATATCTTTTACTCTTTTTAACCACTGTAATGAATTTTCAAATCAGCTTTTAGAAAAATAAAATTAATTTTCTAGCATTTGAATTTTATATTTTTTTTTTGAAAGAAGGTACTTTGTATTAAGAAGGATAACAAAGTACACCACCTCAAGAACCTTATTAAAAAATTTCCCTAATCCTAAATAGAGGAAAATAGTGTACTTTAAGGTGGTAGAGATCAAATACACATAATACTATTACAAAATACATACCATACCCCGCCCTACCACAAGCCCCAAACCTACACATAATAAGACCAACACACAAACCGACAAATTAAAAGAGAACACATTGAGCAATCATACACAAACAACAAAGGTTATGGTATGAAACCAAGGCACTACTAAATAACCTGGTCAAAGCCCACTTTACTACACTTATATCAAACCATAAATTATAGAGATGTTTTTTTGCAAAAAGTAGAAACACCACCCATGCCTCCCACGCTAACACCACTACCAATAAAACTCCACCCATGCTGGCCCTAATCCAATAAAAGACCTTGAAGGTCGAAATAGATTTACAGCCACCCGACAACCTCCTTAATTCCACCAAAAAGAGCAGCATGCGAGAACCTCTAACGAAACACGATGATATCCGCAAGCACCAATCTTACTGCCAACGTTCCACTATCGAAAATATTCCTCTAACTCAACGCCCTGAACTGCACTTCCCCCAATCTACCTTTCATGGGCCAAGTTTCTTCTGCACATGCCTCTACGAAACCAGAAGCATTCGCCATAACATCAGCGACTGCATGCCACTCTCCGCCATCGACCAAGCATCCATCAATGAAAGCACAAATCCTCACAACATTGCTGAAACTCCAAAGGAAACAACTCCCAAATAACAAAAACTGCCATTAATCTCAGACTATGACTAAACGGCCCATCAATCGACACTATGGGCACAACGAATAGACTATTATCGACAGCCACCATATTTCCTACAACCGGAAAACGAAACCAGCATCTGCAGCAGAACCCTCCTGTAACCTAGGACACATCTCATCACCGACAACTCTGTATTCGTTGCTTCACCATCGGCCGGAATGCCATCAAGGAACACACAATGCAATACACAGACACATGAGCGGGCAGTGAACAACATCGAAAAGCAACACCAAAGAACATCTATCAAGGCAAAGAAACATAGGATAGCTGAAAGACGAAGGAGAGGTAAAGACTTTCGAACAAATCCACTCACTCAGTTCAAGCTAAGAGACAATGAGAGGAAACAACGGCGACGAACAACGAACCGCTTCTACAAATAGAATAAACTTGAGAAAATGAACCACTACACATAGACAATAGACAAACCTCCGTACAGTCAACCACTTTCGAAGACGAAAACAACCTCTTTCGCGAGACGGTGGCTGCCGCCACCACCGACCTTGCTGCTTAAAATCAAACTTAATATAAGGTAAAATAACAAAAGAAAGAAAAGGATCGGCGGCCAACAACCAGCCTTAAGGGCTGGTGCCTCCGCCTATACACCCTTAACCACCAAAACTAGTATGTTCTAAAATGGACTTTATCCCTTCAAGTCACCTTCTGTGAAAACCCTAATTGTTTTTTTTAATTATTATTTTTTGAAATATCTTTTACCCTTTTTAACCACTGTAATGAATTTTCAAATCAGCTTTTAGAAAAATAAAATTAATTTTCTAGCATTTGAATTTTATATTTTTTTTTGAAAGAAGGTACTTTGTATTAAGAAGGATAACAAAGTACACCACCTCAAGAACCTTATTAAAAAATCTCCCTAATCCTAAATAGAGGAAAATAGTGTACCTTAAGGTGGTAGAGATCAAATACACATAATACTATTACAAAATACATACCATACCCCGCCCTACCACAAGCCCCAAACCTACACATAATAAGACCAACACACAAACCGACAAATTAAAAGAGAACACATTGAGCAATCATACACAAACAACAAAGGTTATGGTATGAAACCAAGGCACTACTAAATAACCTGTTCAAACCCCACTTTACTACACTTATATCAAACCATAAATTATAGAGATGTTTTTTTGCAAAAAGTAGAAACACCACCCATGCCTCCCACGCTAACACCACTACCAATAAAACTCCACCCATACTGGCCCTAATCCAATAAAAGACCTTGAAGGTCGAAATAGATTTACAGCCACCCGACAACCTCCTTAATTCCACCAAAAAGAGCAGCATGCGAGAACCTCTAACGAAACACGATGATATCCGCAAGCACCAATCTTACTGCCAACGTTCCACTATCGAAAATATTCCTCTGACTCAACGCCCTGAACTGCACTTCCCCCAATCTACCTTTCACGGGCCAAGTTTCTTCTGCACATGCCTCTACGAAACCAGAAGCATCCGCCATAACATCAGCGACTGCATGCCACTCTCCGCCATCGACCAAGCATCCATCAATGAAAGCACAAATCCTCACAACATTGCTGAAACTCCAAAGGAAACAACTCCCAAATAACAAAAACTGCCATTAATCTCAGACTAGGACTAAACGGCCCATCAATCGACACTATGGGCACAACGAATAGACTATTATCGACAGCCACCATATTTCCTACAACCGGAAAACGAAACCAGCATCTGCAGCAGAACCCCCCTGTAACCTAGGACACATCTCATCACCGACAACTCTGTATTCGTTGCTTCACCATCGGCCGGAATGCCATCAAGGAACACACAATGCAATACACAGACACAGGAGCGGGCAGTGAACAACATCGAAAAGCAACACCAAAGAACATCTATCAAGGCAAAGAAACATAGGATAGCTGAAAGACGAAGGAGAGGTAAAGACTTTCGAACAAACCCACTCACTCAGTTCAAGCTAAGAGACGATGAGAGGAAACAACGGCGACGAACAACGAACCGCTTCTACAAATAGAATAAACTTGAGAAAATGAACCACTACATATAGACAAGAGAAAAACCTCCGTACAGTCAACCACTTTCGAAGACGAAAACAACCTCTTTCGCGATACGGTGGCTGCCGCCACCACCGACCTTGCTGCTTAAAATCAAACTTAATATAAGGTAAAATAACAAAAGAAAGAAAAGGATCGGCGGCCAACAACCAGCCTTAAGGGCTGGTGCCTCCGCCTATACACCCTTAACCACCAAAACTAGTATGTTCTAAAATGGACTTTATCCCTTCAAGTCACCTTCTGTGAAAACCCTAATTGTTTTTTTAATTATTATTTTTTGAAATATCTTTTACCCTTTTTAACCATTGTAATGAATTTCCAAATCAGCTTTTAGAAAAATAAAATTAATTTTCTAGCATTTGAATTTTATATTTTTTTTTGAAAGAAGATACTTTGTATTAAGAAGGATAACAAAGTACACCACCTCAAGAACCTTATTAAAAAATCTCCCTAATCCTAAATAGAGGAAAATAATGTACCTTAAGGTGGTAGAGATCAAATACACATAATACTATTACAAAATACATACCATACCCCGCCCTACCACAAGCCCCAAACCTACACATAATAAGACCAACACACAAACCGACAAATTAAAAGAGAACACATTGAGAAATCATACACAAACAACAAAGGTTATGGTATGAAACCAAGGCACTACTAAATAACCTGGTCAAACCCCACTTTACTACACTTATGTCAAACCATAAATTATAGAGATGTTTTTTTGCAAAAAGTGGAAACACCACCCATGCCTCCCACGCTAACACCACCAATAAAACTCCACCCATGCTGGCCTTAATCCAATAAAAGACCTTGAAGGTCAAAATAGATTTACAGCCACCCGACAACCTCCTTAATTCCACCAAAAAGAGCAGCATGCGAGAACCTCTAACGAAACACGATGATATCCGCAAGCACCAATCTTACTACCAACGTTCCACTATCGAAAATATTCCTCTGACTCAACGCCCTGAACTGCACTTCCCCCAATCTACCTTTCACGGGCCAAGTTTCTTCTGTACATGCCTCTACGAAACCAGAAGCATCCGCCATAACATCAGCGACTGCATGCCACTCTCCGCCATCGACCAAGGATCCATCAATGAAAGCACAAATCCTCACAACATTGCTGAAACTCCAAAGGAAACAACTCTCAAATAACAAAAACTGCCATTAATCTCAGACTAGGACTAAACGGCCCATCAATCGACACTATGGGCATAACGAATAGACTATTACCGACAGCCACCACATTTCCTACAACCGGAACAAGAAACCAGCATCTGCAGCAAAACCCTCCTGTAACCTAGGACACATCTCATCACCGACAACTTTGTATTCGTTGCTCCACCATTGGCCGGAATGCCATCAAGGAACACACAATGCAATACACAGACACAGGAGCGGGCAGTGAACAACATCGAAAAGCAACACCAAAGAACATCTATCAAGGCAAAGAAACATAGGATAGCTGAAAGACGAAGGAGAGGTAAAGACTTTCGAACAAACCCACTCACTCAGTTCAAGCT